CTCATGATCCATCTGCGCTCCCTTGACACTCGCTACCGTGCTGCTCTCCTGGAGTTCTTGGCTGAGAACCAGCCCCCCATGTACCTCACTCTATACTTCCTCGTGACTCGCCTCCCTGACACCCTTCGTGATGTTCGATACCACTTCCTCTCCCTAGAACCCACTAGTCTCACCCTTACCTTATTTAAGACTCGTCTCTTCAAGGCTGAAACTAGCGCTCGTGTTGCGCGAGAATGTGTTCGACAGAGGACTAAGCGAGGAGTGCTGGAGGGTGGTAGAAATGAGGGAGTCGGGCATTCTGGTTCGGCCTTAGACAGCAAGGAGTGAGACTTCACACCGAGAGAGGGAGAAGTTTGCAGCAGTATAAAAGGCCAGCCAGAGCAGGTAACAAAAGTCCATGAAGGAGACAATCGGAGGGGTACAAGGTGCAGCAACAAGTCCAAGATAGCACGGGAGATAAAGGCAAGAAGAGCTGGGATTTTTTTACAGATGTCACGGATATGCGTTGACCATCTATAATGACGGTTGAGGGCAATGCATTCTCAGAGACAGCAAGAGGTTAGCACCACGATATAAAGGATGTACCAGTGTGGGAAGACTCTAGGCAAGATTCAGGGACGGAAGCAGTAGAGGAGTTACGGTATGAAATTCGCTGACTGATAACAACAGAGCCTCTAGTGGCGAGGGTGGGCGAGGGATGAGGAAGCACGGGAGGTGTGGGAAGCGGTAACAAAGTCTGCACTGAAGATAAGGTGATTCGAGCTGAGGAAAAGGGGGAGTTCTTGCATGTTTCCTTTCGAGTGTGCTTGGAATGTGAACATTGGCAAGGCGGGGGCTGCTAACGCGGACAAGAGCAGCAAGTACGAGAGTTGGCAAATGGTAAAAACAAGCATGTTGGCTCTCCTCAGATTTGGCCCTTGACTCGAGCAAGAACTCACGCAAGCACTAGCGGCTGGCAGCTTGTTAATAGCTTCGGTGATCATCAAACTCACCAAATTGTGATGATTACTTGTGTGTTATGCCCAGCAACAAAGTGTTGGGGCTAATTGTTTCAAACATGCACATAGAGCTAGACAAATCTAGGACTCGTTGCTTCGTCGTATGTTCTCCGCTTCTTGATAATAAAGTCTAGTTAAACAAACATAGGCGGAAGCCATCAATCGGCATTGGTTGGGCTAGTGAGGTTTTTCTGAGTGGGTATTCGGCCTCAAACAGCAAGGAGTGAGACTTCACACAGGGAGAGGGATCGGTTTGCAGCAGCATAAAGTCCGACAAGAGCAGATAACAAAAGTCCTTGAAGGAGAGACGGAGAGGGGCACAAGGTGCAGCAACGAGTTTAGGGTAGCACGGGAGCCAAAGGCAAGGGGAGCTGGGATTTTCAAATAATGTAGGATTTACTAGTAATCAGGGGTATACCTTAGTGAGAAAAAACAAACGGGCTGAAGCCTCAGGGTAAATTTTTGGCATGCCTTACGAAACCAGGGCCTGTCTGAGGGCTCTGCCCTGGGGACGTCAAGTTTTTTTTAGCCATGCCCTGAGGGCTCAGGGACCCTAGAAATATGAGGCTCTGGTCTGGGCTAATAGTGTTGCGCTATGTTGTTTCTAATCTTCTAGGCATTGCCCATTGCCAAGCTTACGGGGTGTGTCAACTACACTTGTATATGTCAAAAACGGAATGATGTGTGTATTACTGTTAGTTGGGGTACATATACCTAACCCTAACAACTGTACCTCACATGACATGCCTCACTACAGGCTACAACATTGGACACACCCCTTTAGCCTAAGTGAGGGGTGTCATGCAACAACCAAACCGTACGGTCACAAGACCGGTCACAAGGAGACAAAGCTCAGGGTGGATCACAATGTCACCACACAGTCCGAGCACAAACAAGAGGCCACAAGACCAGTCCAAGCGTTCACAGAGGTAGTTGTATAAAGTACAAACAAAGCAAGTAGACAACACAAGTCTACACAAGACAATAACCTGTGTCAAGAGACATAACTGCACACACAACCTATGGTGGTCACAATGTGAAAGAGCCTTGGTGAAGATGTCTGCAGTGTTGGCTTCGGAGCCTACGAAGTCCAAACAAGCCTGTCCATGCCCCTGCTGTCAGAATGCTATAATTGTCTAGTCTGTAGTGGGGTATTCTATAATGAGTACAACCCAATTTAGGGTTTGCTATATGTATCCCATTGCTTTCTAGTTCAAACACCCTTCTTCTGTTCTAACTTTCTCGCGACTGTTCTGACATGCTATCAGAGCGAGTACGCTCCTGGCCTGTGGGCCCACCTACTTCCGCTGCTGTCCTGTCTGTCGGGCGCCCCGTAACGCACGACGATTTTTCTTCCCGCCACGTGCTCGGGGCACATGGCGGTTTTCTGCCCGCCGCGCGGCGGTTTTCTGCCCGCCGCGCGGTGGTTTTCTGCCCGCCGTGCGCCCCGAGGCGCGCGACGGTTTACTGCCTCTCGCGTCACCCCGGGGACCCGCGCCTTCTCCGTCGACTGTCGTGTCACCCCGGGGACCCGCGCGTCCCTCCCCGTCGACCGTCGCACCGCCCCCGTGGACCCGCGCGTCCCCCCCGTCGACCATCGCGTCGCCCTTGGGGACCCGCACGCGCCCCCCGCGATCCCGTCGCGTCGCCCTGGGCACCCGTGCGCGGCCTCTGCCATCTCGTCGCGCCGCCCTGGGGACCCGCTCGCGCCCCCTGCGCTCCCGTCGCACCGCCCTGAGAACCCGCACGCACCCCCTGTGCTCCCGTTGCACCGCCCCGTGCCCCCGTGCGCCGCGAGGCTTCTTCCTCCCCGCGGGTGGCGAGTGTGGGGGTGGCGAGTATGGGGGTGACGGGTGTGTGAGGCCTCCCTTGCTCCTCTTCCTCCTCTCTCTCCCACTGCTACAGCTGCCGCTGAGGGGGGAATAGTGTGTGGGAGCCGAGGGAGTGGTGGTAGAGATTCAGGGGGGGATGTGAGACAGGGGTTTGGGGACAATGGGGGGAGGTTGAACGGAGGTAGCAGTCTGGAGCCAGCAGCGACAGTAATCCGGGGCTCTTGCTCCGGTAGCCAGCGAGCCCGTTGCGCCAGTCGCCCGTGGGTCCATTGCTCCAGCCGCTCGTCTTAGCCGCGGAGCCAGTTACTCCAGTAGTCTGGGGCCCTTGCTCCGGTAGCCAGTGCGCCAGTTGCTCCAGTCGCCCGTGTGCCAGCAGCTTCAGCAGCCACCTCCAATCTCCTCTCCTCTCATAGTCCCTCCTCCTCCTCACTGCCCCTCTGCTTTTCTGTAAACTTGTTCTTTGCCTACTCGTTGTGCTGATTATACCCCACTTTGCCTATGGGGGTGTGTCAGAATGTTTATTGTCTAGTCTGCAGTGGGGTACTCTATAGTGAGTACAACCTTGTTAGGGTTTGCTATATTTATCCCATTGTTTTCTAGTTAAAACACCCTTCTTCTGTTCTAACTTTCTCGCTACTGTTCTGAGACCTGCAACTCTTGAAGAAGAAAATACTTGACGCTGCTCTGCTTCACTCTGCTCTCCAGTCGAGGCGCTCTACACAGAAGAATCATCGCCTTGTTGTCTGTGAACAAGGTCGGTGCAGAGCTCGGCCGCTCACCAAGGTCAGTAAGTAAAGAAGGTCAACCAATGCAGCTCCTGTGCAGCCATGAATCCAACGTAAATCTCGGCCTCAGTAGTAGAGGTCGAGACACAAGAGGAACGAGTAGACCTCCATGACACAGCTGTATAGCCTATACTGAAACAGTACCCCTGCCTGGACCTGTGAGTCTTGACGTCGTCGGCGTAAGAAGAGTCACAGTGGCCAGTGAGTACGATAGGCTGTCTCCCTCCAAGCACCAGCCCGACGCCTGATGTCGTCGCTAGTTACTTCGCCACCCTCACATCAGCTGTCCAGTAAACATGACGGTGTCTCCATGACGCAACAAAGCGGGCAAAGATGCTGAGACGGAAGGCGAGATCCGGGCGAGTACAAGTCATCCGATACATGAGGCAACCCACAAGCTCTGCGTAAGGACCACTAGGCTCAAACGGCTCGTCACGGAAGGGTCAAGTGAGTCTGTGGGCCCATAACCTACAGGTCCCAGGATCGGAACCAAGCTTTGATACCATGTCAAAAACGGAATGATGTGTGTATTATTGCGAGTTGGGGTGCATATACCTAACCCTAACAACTGTACCCTATCGGCTACAGCATTTGACCAATACATTTGTAAGTGGGCATTGCTAAGCGAGGTTAGGTGAGGTTGTGCTGAGTCATGGTTTGCTTCTTATACACCCCTCTGTATGCCCCCTTATTGATACGTACCATGCAGTTGTGTCAAAACCTCTTTCTTTTGTAGGCGGAAAAGGCAAATAGCGTTTTGACGACATCTAATGCTGCGTACAAGCTGCTGCGCTTTCACAATACGTTAAGTCATTTCAGACAATGTAGCTTGGAAAAATGCATACATCAGGCTCAATAAGGCTGCAAGCAATCTCCATATTGGTTCCATTTCCACCTATTCAAATTCCGACTGGGAGGTGCTTTATCAGTGTAGTACGATCAGCTTGAAGGCACAGAGTGTGACACAGTAGTGGCAGTGCAAGACTACCACTGGTTCCTGACACGGGATCATCTGGCTCAACTTCCTTGTTGAGTTACTGCATCACAACTGCGCCCTTCATACAGCAAGCATGGGCACAGTGAATCTACGAGAGCTGCCCTTAGGGCGTGTTCCTACAGCCTCTTATCAGGCGAACCTCTTGTCAGATTCGCGTCGCACCGCACTGAAACACTCTTAATAACATTCGATCGCACTGAAACGCATTGAACCGCACAAGTCTGACAAGAGGTCCCCTGATAAGGGGCCGTAGGAACACGCCCTTAAGCTAGTGTTAGTGGCCAACATGAGCATATGCACTGGGGCCTGCCCCCGCTCAACAAAGGTGACACAGCCAAAGGGGTTGTACATGAGCAAGAGGATGGAGAGGCGAGGGGAGAGCGGTTGATCACAAGTCCAAAAGACGCATCGACGGGCGGCCACAAGGCACATCCACACAGCCTGCACGTTTGGATGTGAGGGAGCATGTGAGCAGGGAGCACAGGAGGGCGACACAGGTTGAGCTGGCAGGGATGGCATGCGGGAAACACAGATTCCACACACGGGTGAGGCACGTGCATGGCGCTGCTGTGTGGTGTGCAAGACATGGGTGCACATGTGGGGCCCGCCTTGGCGCATGCCGGAAGCAGCTCTGGGTGGCTTACCGTAGCATGCACCACCCATGCCACACAAGGTTGGCGCCCAGCCCGCACACATGGCCGGAGAGGGGGGGGTGCTGAGGGCACGACGCAGAGATTGCGCCGCACAAGAGAGCAGTATGTGGTGCAGAGTGGTGGAGGAGACGGTGCTTCATGCCATGCGCATGCACTCACATGCCATGCGCATGCACTCACATGCCATGCGCATGCACTCACATGCCATGCGCATGCACTCACATGCCATGCGCATGCACTCACGTCGTACGACTACACTCGCATGCGTGCATCACACGCGCCCGGCAGCACCACCCTCCCTGGTGGGTGCAGACCTCTGCCTGGGCCCGTAACTTCCATGCCTCACACCCTCCGTTGCCCCAACCCCTCTTCCCCCCCCTTTCCCCTGCGCCCCTCCCCGCGCCTGCACCCCTGCAAACCCCTGTGCCCTCTCCTCGCCCTGCCTGCCGCTCCGTTCCACCTGCCCTGCTGCCCCCCTGCCACCACTTGACCCGTGCCCCCTGCCACTGCCACTGCCACTGCCACTGCCACTCGCACCTGCACCCCCGCCCGCACCGCCGCGCGCTGCTGCGGCAGGCGAGGCGGCCCCAGGGGAGGAGGTGGAGAGCACGGCGGCCACAGTGGCGCTGCGAGGCATCATCATGCGCGCCGCTGCTCGCCCATCCTCGCTCTGCCTTGCCCCACCCCCACTCCCAACATGCCCCCTCGGTCCAGCGGCCCCCCCAACCCTCACTCCGCCCCTGCCATCCCCGACCGCGCCCCTACTCTCCCCACCGCTGCCCCGCACATCAGCCCCACCCACGCGCCCATCGCCTCGCCTTGCCCTGCCATCCCCTCGCCCACTGCTGTCCCCGCGACTCGCATCCGCCCTGCCATTGCCAGTGCTGCCACTGCCGCCCCTCCGGTCAACGGCCTCCCTGCGCGCATCCCTGTGCTCGTGCGCCCCCTTGCCACCGCGCCCCGCGTGCCCATGGCCGGGGGAGCCTCGCCCTGGGGAGTCATACGACAGGGCTTTGGGGAAGCGCCCTGCGCGCTCAAAGTCGCCATCGTCCCACGTGCCGCTGCGCGGCGGCCTTGCAGGACTCACCCCTGCTCGCCCCTCACCCCGCCCCCTCACATCCTCCCGCACCTGCCATTGCTGCTGCTGCTGCGCCGGCGGCTGCTGCTGTTGCCACACCCTCGCGCCTGCCCCCCCCTCTCCACTGCTGTACTCCTCCTCGCTTGAAACCACCCCTTCTCGCCCCCCCCCTCTCCTGTGCCCGTCACTGCTGCTGCTGCTGCGCCCTCCCCGGGAGTCCGCCCCACAGTGCCCCTCCCCGACCGCTCCCCCAGCGCTGTTCCCCACCCGCCCTGTGCTACTCGCCCCCCTGCCATACCCGCCCTCCTCCCTCTGCCTCTCTTTCCCGTCCCACCACTCGCCCTCCCCCCGCGACCCCTGTGTGCTGCCCCGCCGCTCCCGCCCACCGCTACCGCCACCCCCCTGCGTGCACGCAGGTCGCCCGCCCTGCTCCTCTTGCTCAACGGCTCTCTCTCCCTCTCTCCGCACCCTCTCGCTTTTTCCTTCATACTCAAATTCCTCCTCCTCGTCATCTCCTTCGTCTTCCAATTCCTCCTCTTCCTCTTCCTCATCCTCTTCCCCCTCCTCCCCCTCCTCCTCATCCTCCTCATCCTGCTCCTCGTCCTCCTCCGCGTATTGCTCCTCCTGTCGTGCGCACCAGCTATCATACATCTGCTGCGTCGCCCCCTGCTGCCCGCGTGCATCCCACTGCGCCTCTCGCCGCTCCCCACCGCCCATGCCAGGCCCCCTCACGCCCTGTCCCTGATGCCCCGCCCTCCTCTCGGCCCCTTGTCGCAACTGACCCTCCAGTCGGCCATCCCAGATGCCCTTGCCGCTCATCTCCTCACGCTGCTGCTGCTGCTGCTGCTGCTGTTGCTGCTGCTGCTGCTGACGCTGCCGCTGTTGTTGCTGCTGCTGCTGCTGTTGCCGCAACTGCGGCAAGGGCAGCGGCTGCTGCTTCTGTGGTTGCAAGCGGTACAAATACTGGGCTCGACTTGCCAAGTACTCCTCATCATCTTCCTCCTCGTCCTGCTCCCCCACTTCAACCTCCTCGCCCTCGCCCCCCCACTCCCTGCGCACGACCTTCTCGTCCCCGCGGCCCCTCTCACCGCCGTTGCCACTCCACTCGTCTCTACCGCCAGGCTCGGCCTGCCATGACATGTGTCGCCATCGCCCCTCCCTGCTCCTCTCTCCCCTCCCCCATTCCGCCTCACTGCTTCTCTGCACCTCCCTGTCCCACCCCGCTGCCTCCGCCCTCCCTCGCTCACCTGCCACCTGCGCCCTCCCCCCGCCGTTCGCTCCCAGCTGCAGCGTGTGCGGCTGCTTGCCCGCGCGGCTCTGCTCTGCGTCCAGCGGGTCGAACGACGCCATCACCCCCGTCATGTCCGACCGCGTGCGCAGACTGCCCGTGTACACTGCGCGCCCGCCCCCCGCTTCCGCCCGTGCCCCCGCGTCTCCTCTCCCATCTCCCCCCGTATCTTTCCATTTGCCCCCGTGCTTCCCCCCTGCACCGGCGTGCACGCCCCGCGGGCTGGAGGACACAGTGCGCGGAATCGCAGCGCCATCCTCCTGGTTGCGCCGCGCGCTCGCCCGCGCTACAAGGCTCTCCGCATCTCTCACCCTCCGCTCGCCCTCTTCCCGCCCCACACACTCCGCAATACGCAGTGGAGACAGTGCCCTCGTTTGCCCCTGCCCCTGCCCCTGCCCCTGCCCCTGCCCCTGCCCCTGCCCCTGCCCCTGCCCTTGCACCTGCCCCAGCCACGGCGCTTGCTCTTGGGCGTGCCGTTGCTCCTGCTCCTGTCCCTGCCCCGGTCCGAGCTCTACAGTCTGTGCTGCTTGCGTTGCTGATGCTGACTGCCCCTGCCCTTGCCCCTGCCCCTGATCCGGACCACCCCGCACGGGGACGGGCGGACGGCGCGCCACTTCAATCTTGCGCCATCTGGTGCGCCTTGCTCCACCGCCTCCCGCCCCACCTGCTGCGCCCCCTCCCCCCTCGTCAGTACCCTCCCCGCCCCATCCAGCCCCTGCTGCTACGCCGTCAGCGCCGTCGGCCACAGCAGCAGGCGCGGGGGCAGGTGTGGGCGAGGCGGCGGAGGGCGAGGGCGGCTCCGACGCAGGTCCCGCGCCGTTGTGCGGGATCAGCAACCGATCCACCCTCTCCTCTCCCACTGCCGCGCCCTCGCTCCCCTCCCCCATTCCTACGCCCGCTTCCCACACTGTTGGCCCTGCCCCGCCCGACCCCACTCCCTCTCCGCTCATCCTGCCACCATTGCCCGTCCTTCTCCCCCCCTCCTCACTCTCGTCGCCCTCCCATTCCTCCGCGCCTGCCCGCGCCCCATCCTCGTCCCCGCTACCACGTCCCCCCCCTTCCCCGCTGCCCTCCATCTCCCCGCTTCGCAGCCGCGCGCCCCCTGCCTTTCCGCCCTCTGCTTGCAGCTGCGCCTCCTTCTCGCCCCCAGAGGGCGCAGTGCCCGGCCGCCGCCAGCGCAAGGAGCTCTTTCCGCGCATTGTTCCGCCTGTTCTCGGAGGGGTCGGTCCCGTTCCGCCGCCGCCACTCACAGCTATAACCCCCAGAGCCAGCCCCCCCTGGTCTTTAAGCGGGGAGAGCGCGCGCACCTGGGGAGATGCTTTGCTCCCAGCGGAGGCATCCCGCTCAGGCTGGCCGCCGCTCTTATCCGCGCGCGGAACAGGGGGGGGCCAGCTGCCGCCCTGCGACCCACTGGGGCTGGAGAGCAGGTCGGATGGGGCGGAGAGATCGCGGTGGAGGGGGGGAGGCCCCGAGAGCGTGGGCGCGCGCGGGGACCCGAGGGGACTACCGCCGATGGCGGAGGGGCTGTCGACCAGCGACGGAATCGCGGAGCCCCGCCCAGCGCCGGCCAGCGCGCCCCGCCCGCGGGATCCCAGGCCTGCGCCCACTGCGGTGGGGCTGGCGAGCGGGCTGAGCGCGGTGGTCTGCAGGTGGCGGCTGTCCGCGGAGGGCGTGCGGGAGAGCTCCCGCGCGCCCAAAGACATGGAGGGGGAAGAGCCAAGGGCGGGGCTCAGGGGGGGGAGGCTGGAAGCGGAAATGCCATTAGCGAGGGGCGAAAGGGACGCGGAGGGGGTGAGGGGGGAGAAAGGCGCGGCCTTGGCGCGGCAGTGCGCGTCAAAGGCATCTAGCTCCGCGCCCGCGCCCCCTGCGTCGCCCGCCTTGGGGGTGCCCGAGGAAGGGAAGCCCACGGACGGGCTGCGACCCAGGCGACCCGACGACGACACTGGGCGATTTAATAAAGGCAGCTTCGAGCCGCCTGGTAACCACATGGGTCGGTTACGAGGCCCGCTCTGACCCGCACCAGGCGTGCCCGCGCTGCTGCCCGCGTTAACCTCGCCAGCCCCGCGCCCCCCTGACCCCGCTTCTATCGACCCTTGCGCACTGCCAGCCCCACTCGCCGCCCCTGCCCCTGCCCCTACGCTGTCCACCGCTCCGCTTCCGCGAGGTCCCCCCTGTCCTCCCCCGGGCCCCCCGGTAATGAACGACTTGGAGCGCCCGTGGCGTTGCGAGGCGGAGAGGTCGTCCGCCTGCAGCCCTCCCCCGGCGAAGGGACGCCACCCGCCCTTGGCTCTGCCGCCCCCCTGCTGCTGCTGCCCATGGCCGTACGTGCCGCCCTGCGCCTGCTGCTGCGGCGGCTGCTCGTCGTCGCCCTCCGCCTGCTGCTGCACGTACGCGTCGTGCGCAGCCTGCGCGCGCGGAGACATGCTCAGCTCGCCCGACCCCGCGCGCCCCCGCAGGCCGTCGCGCTCGTCGGCGCCGCTGGTGAGGCCCTCTTTCCAGCTGTGCGCCGTGCGCTTCAGCTTCCCCATGATCTTCTGCCGCAACCCCTTCTTCCCGCCGTCCCCCATCCGCTCCTCCTCGCCCCAATCCTCCCCACTCCGCGCGCCCGAAGGGGAACTCACTCCCCCTGCCCCTGCCGCAGCCACCGCTGCCCCCCCCCCCATTCTCCCCCCGCCCGGCCCGCCGTCGTCATCGTCCAGGTAGCCCCCGCCCCCTTCGTCCACCCGCCACGGGCTGCGCGACGTTTCCGCCGACGAGCTGGCGCGCACAAGCGCGCGATCCGCGCCCTCGCTGAACCCCGGTGCGCTTACCTTCTCGCGCTCCTGCCACGAACCCCCTCCCCACATCCCCCCAGCTCCTCGACCCCCCGTCGACGCCGCACCCCCCCAAATTCCGCCGCCGCCCCGGGCGCCACCACCCCCGCCCCAAATCCCCCCTCCACCCCCCCCCAAGTTCCCGTCGGCGGCGGGTTTCCTGGAAGTGGCGGGCGCGTCCCAGTCGTCCTCGAGCGACTGCTGGCGCGAGTGGCTCTTCTCCTCCTCGCTGTCCCACGACTCCGTCAGCAAGCTGCTGCCGAACACCGGCGCGCCCAGCGTGCGCACATTGCCGCGCTCGGACGAGCGGCTCGTGCGCCGGCCGCCGATGTCGGACGCATACGACTCGCCGAAGATGCGCACGGGGGGGCCCAGCCCCACCTTGCCCGCCAGCATGCCCCCGCCCGTGGTGGCGCGCGCAAGCTCCTCCTCCTCGCTGAGGTCGCCGTCGTCCAGCCCCAGCATCGACATGCGCGGGTTCAGCGCCGCCTGCCGCTCCGCGCGCAGCAGCTGCCACGCGGCGTGCGCGTGCGCGACGATCTCGAGCACCTTGTCCTTGTCCGCCACGCCCTCCTTCAGCCGCAACACGCGCCCGCGCTCGCCTGCCCACACACGACGCGCGCGCGAGGAGGAGCGGCAGCAGTTGTGACGGTTGCGATAGGGATATGAGCGAAGGCGGCGGAGAGGGCGGAAAGGAGAGGTGAGGGAGAGGGCGGATTGGGTGTAAAAAGGGAAGGGGTGCGGGGGGGGGGGGGGGGGGGGGGGGGAGGGGGGGGGGTTATGTAAGAGGCAAAAAACGACGAACAAGTGGCGTGAGTGGCGGGCGGCGTACCTCGGATAGCGCGGCAGGAGTGCAGCCACTCCTGGATGGAGTCGAGCAGGATGTGCACGGAGCCGTTCTGCGAGTCCACCATGCCGCTATCGTCGTCCAGCGCTATGCCCACCACCTTCCACGACAGCCGCAACCCGCGCGGGTCCACCAGCGCGAACACCGCGAGAGCCCCCACAGAGTACACCTCGCCCACTGAGCGCACGCGCCGGCCGATCTCCACCATTTCTATGGGGCTGTCGTCGAACGGCAAGTTTCCAAACTCCGCGCACCGCTGTGCGCCGTCCGACCACGTCTGCGGCAGCACGCCGCAATTCCAGGGCACTGGCTCGTTGAATTGCACCAGCTGCCACCCGCCGCCCGCCGCTGCAGTGGCTGCTCGCACGCGATGGCGCAGCGGCGCGAGCCTCTCCTGAACAGCCACGTGGCAGTCTACTTGAGTCCCCTTGGGCGTGGTGCAAACGAGGTGGAAGCCGCCCGAGGTGGAATGCAACGGCACGTCGTGCCATGGCGACACCTCGCGACCCGAGGCGTCCTCCAAAGTGACGCAGAAGGACGTGGTCCCCGGGGGACCGTTGAGCAGAGGCGACCACTCTGACATGCCCACGCCTCGCTCTAACGGGCCTGTGACTCGATGGCGCGGAGGAGAGACAGCGGGCACGATGATAATAACACACAGAAAATCCAATAGACACCTATTTTTGAAAAGGCCTTTTATATATATTAATTAAGTGCCATCGCGGCGAAAGTCTGACGAGCACTGCCGAAGGCCGAGTCTGGATGCTAGTTTAGAAATAGGTTAACAATACGGAGGTCGGAACATCTGAGGGGTCAGAACAAAGCCATGGCGCTGCTACGACCGCGCGCATACCAAAGCCGACATACACGCTTCCCTTACTGCCCCGTCTGCGGCAGCAGAAGAGGTAACCGAGGAACCATTTGCATCTAGAAAGTAGAGGTAACGGGGGGGTTGTCTGATAAGGCAGGTGGGGTGAGGAGGCGGCATGTAGGTGGAGGCAACTCCAACGGGAAATGGCACACAGAGCAGCGCACATGCACTTTGGGATTGCCCTTCAGACTTCCCCCCCAGACAGCCGAGTTGTGTCGACTACGCCCCTCTGGAGGTGACGCAAGGGGAGGAGGGGAGCCCGCCAAGCTAGGTCATTCAGCGGAACTGCCGCACGGTGGGCTTGCCGCTCGTTTTCGCGGTGTACTGTAGTGAAGTCCCCGCATGTCCCCCATTCCGCCAAACAGTAGCACCCTCTGCGGCGCGAACATGTCGAGTCGAGGGTGGCGGGGAAACGTGCAGGGGGCAGATGAGTTGACGCACGGAGGACCCGCTGCAGTGCGTAGCCGCAAATGAAGTCCCTTGGAGCGGAGCTTTTCACTACCTGCAACTGGCCCACAATCTCGATGAGATGAACTGTAAGGAATTTTCCCGAATTCCTTATCGGGGTTGACTGCTTCGCGTACAACCCGATTTTCGGAGTTCCCACGTTCGGCCGATTTCAACGCTGCTGAGGCTCCTCGCGTCGCCTTCGGCATTCCCATCGCCAAACCTGCACCCAACCTCGCTTGTCCGAGGTTTCCTCCTAGCTAGGCTAACCCTACATTAGTCTGTGCATTCATTGTATTTGCAGTTCATTCAGTCACAGCCTCGTTATTCGTTTGCCTGCGCACTCTCTTTACAACTCATAACACCTGGTATCAGAGCTACTTTCCTAGTTCACCTCGCTTTTCGAGGGTAGTTTGGTGGCACGGGTGTGGTTGGTTTAGTGACTACACGACGGTTGGTTGCAGGGATTGTTAATTCAATCCTACCCGACTCCGATAGTTCGTGTTTTCACTTGCTGGGAGGCCACGGGTACCCGACTGCCCACCAGACGTAGTGCTAGGCACATGGATCAGGAGGCTGTTAACCGGCTGATGGCGCAAGTGGCAGAAATGAAGCAGGGCATGGAATCATTAATGGCGGAAGTGACGACGTTACGGGAGGAAAACGCCGAGCTACGCCAGACGCGAGGTGAAGCGCGTCAGGAGTCGCCTGTGGACAAAGGCGAGGGCAACGGTCAAGCGATGAGCAATCCGCTGGATGAGCTCACACATGATTTCGAAGAAGAAGATAGGCAGCGAGCGGCAGCAGCGCCAGTTGCAGTGACGACGATCAAGATAAAGCCCGTCAACCCGCCCCCGTTTAATCCTACGGACAAGACGGTTACGGTAAAAGGGTGGCTGTTCGGGGTCGAAGTCTTTTTCACTGCAGCCGGAGTTAATGACGACGCCACGCGTATTAATTACGCAGTCTCGCTTCTTCGAAGTGCAGCGCTTGAATGGTGGCGCCGAACCTTGGAAACAGGGACGCCGACAGGTGTGACACATGCGGCAGACGAGACCTCTACAGTGGTTAATCAAGTGGCAGAACCAATCTTCGGTGTGACCAAGATATGCACGTGGAAGGAGTGGGGCGCAGCCTTACGGGATCGCTTCGAGCACGTATCCGCCTCGGAGCAAGCTCGCATGAAACTGCGTGCATGGTCGCAGATGGCTTCTGTCCAAGACTACACTGCGTCATTTATGGGCTTCGCCGACCAAATCGATGACATGTCGGAAGCAGAGCGGTTGGATAAGTACGTCAGCGGCCTTAAATATGAGATACAGTTTGAGGTCCGCAGAAGCCTGAGAAAATGAACGAGAATGGATTGACTAAGGGAAAGTTGGGTACAAGTACAAACCCTAGAAAGTCGTACCCCATATGTGCTACCCCACTATAGCCTACAACAGCTATGTCAGATAAATCTGACTAGGCAAAGTGGGGGAGAACAAGGGGTCACAAGACCAGTCAAGCAAAGCAAAGCAAGCTCAGGGTGGATCACTAAGTCACCACACATTCCGAGCACAAGTTCAAGGCCACAAGGCCAGTTCACATGCAGGATTACACATATATATATAAGGCTAGACAAGCAAGAGCAAGTGTATATATATATGTAACAGTACAAACAAGGTCAAGTGGTGAGCAAGTGAGGCAAGGCAGGCACAAGACCCAGCTGAGTAAAGAAGCGCTGATGATCACAAGGCACAAGCGCCTTGGTGAAGATATCAGCAGTGTTGGCCTCAAAGGCCATGTACGCAAGGCGCAGCTGACCACGCTGCTGTAGCTCACGAGCAAGGAAGTAGCGAAGAGCAATGTGATTCGTTCTGTGCTCCAGTCTCTGCTCCCGACCCAACGCCAGCATGGCCTTGTTGTCTACGTACAGCACTGGAGGAGAACGAGGCGGCTCTCCGAGGTCAGTCAGCAGGTAGGTGAGCCAGCGAAGCTCCTGTGCAGCCATGGCTCCTGCGTAGATCTCAGCCTCACAACTGGAGCCGAGAACAGAAGACGAGCGGGTAGCCCGCCACGAAACAGAGCCGGAACCAAGGCTGAAGGTGTAACCCTGTGATGACCGCTGCGTAGCCTGGTCGTCAGCCCAAGAAGCGTCTGCGTGCCCAGTGAGGACCACTGGACTCTGCCCTCCAAGCACAAGCCCCATGCCTGACGTACTGCACAAGTAGCGCAACACCCTCTTCGCTGCAGCCATGTGCTCTGGTCGGTGTCTCCCAGGAGCAACATAGCGTGCCAAGATGCTAAGAGGGTATGCAAGGTCAGGTCGTGTGCAGGTCATCAGGTACATGAGGCAGCCAACAAGCTCTGGGTACGGGCCACTCGGCTCTACGGACTCATCCGAAGGCAGAGCTGAAAGCGAGTGGCGAGTAGACAGAGGAGTGGCCTGAGGCGAGGAGTACGTGAAGCCGAAGCGCTGAAGGACCTGCTGCACCATGTGTGACTGAGTCAGGGTAATGGTGCGGCGTGCTCTGTCCCGTGTGATCTGCAGGCCAAGGTAGCTGCGCAGTTCACCCAGGTCTGTGCACGTGTGTCTCTTCTGCAGCTCGGACTTCACGTGGGTGAGTCCAGCAGTGTCAGCAGTGGCAAAGACCAAGTCGTCGACGTACACGAGGATGTAGAACGGTGGCAAAGAAGTGTCAGTGCGCAGAAACAGCGACGGGTCGGCAGTAGAGGGAGCGAACCCAAGAGCCGCAAGTGTAGTCCTCAGTGTGTCGTGCCACTCACGCGGTGCCTGGCGGAGACCGTAGACTGGCCGCCGGAGGCTCCACTAAGTGCCAGGAGGAAAAGACCCAGTGAAGCCAGGTGGGCGACGCAGCCAGATCTCCTCGTGCAGGCTGCCCTGCAAGAAAGCAGTGCTGAAGTCAAGAGAGTGCAGCTCGTAGTCACGGTGAGCAGCTATGTGCAGCAGTACCCGAAGAGTGGTCATCTTCGGGGTGGGAGAGAAGGTATGAAAGTAGTCAATTCCCTGCCGCTGACTGAAACCACGAGCCACGTAACGCGCCTTGAAGACAGGCGGAGAACCCGGCGGCCGCTTCACCCTGAAAATCCACATGCCACTGACGATGTTCGCCCCAGGCGGGGGAACCTCGTCAACGTAGGTGCCTGTGGACTTCCAGGAAGCCATCTCTGTATCCATAGCTGCCTGCCACTGAGAGGAGTAGGGACCCTCTATCGCCTCCGCGTAAGAGCGCGGAGTCGGGATGTCAAGTGCATCCGGGTCTCCCTCAGGGGTAAGCAGTACGGACACGAGATGAGGTGAAGCAGCAGCCAAACACTGGAACTCCTCCTGCCTGTCCCCAAGGACGTCCGTGCCAAGGACACACTCACCCCCAACGGACGGAGGACAGACAGACTCAGACTCAGCGACAAGACTAGCAGCGTAGTCTAGACGACAACGAGCAGCAAATTCGACGAGCTCAGCAACTAGGGCAGACGCAGCAGTGGACTCAAAGGAAGGGTCCATGACGACAGTAGCAAGGAGACGCGTGATAGTAGGACTGGCAGCACGAAGAGAGTCCGTCTCCGGGTCGGCAAGAGCAGGAAGAGAGGACTCAGGAGGAGAAGGCAAAGGGGCACGCAGAGGAGTAGTGGACGGACACAGAGACATCCTGTGCGTGCCAGGGACAGGAGGAGGACGCTGACGCGAACCACGACCACTAGTGCGAGCAGGATGGACAGGCGACGCAGGGCGAGACGCAGGCTCACGACGCTCAGCAAGACCTCCAGTAGGACCAGTGTAGGGAGAAGGAGCAGGCAGTGGGGAGGCCGGCTGTAACTGGAACTGTGACGGGACAGGCTGTGGACACTCTAAGGGAGGAGGAGGACCAGTAGAAGGTGGAAGACCAAGAACCTGCTGAAGGAGCGGAATGAAGTACAGCCGAGGCCGCGCGGCGACTCCAGACACAGCAGGGGCAGCACCAGTACCCCCAGTGGTAGCACCAGTGCCAGCAGCACCTCCAGCTCCAGCACCCCCAGCAGCTCCAGTAGCTCCAGGACCTCTAGTAGTACCAGTAGCACCTCCAGCACGACCGCCGCCAGGACCGACAGCAGTAGCCTCAGCGCCAACACCCGCAGCAGCTCCAGCTCCAGTCGTACCCTCAGGCCCAGCAGCTCCAATACTCCCAGTAGGAGCACCTCCGGGACCCGCGACACCAGCACCCTCAGTAGCCGAAGAACCTCCAGCTCCAGCAGCACGCCTCCAGCGCCGAGCAAACCACTCG